AGGGCGGGCAGAGGGCGTGGGCAGAATTGGGGAGATTGGAGGGTGAGGAGGCTCAGGCCCGGAGGAGGAGGAGGAGGAGGATCTCCCGGCAGGTCTGGGGGAACCCCTGGGGGCCAGGGCGTGAGCCGGAGAGATGGAGGGCATTCCGGTGAGAAAGGGGGCAGCGTGCTGGGTTTCCGAAGGGTGTGAGGGGACTTTGGGGGAGGGGGGGAACACAAGGGCAAGTGGGATGGGCACGGAGGGAGAAGACGGGGGACTCGAGGCAGACATGGCAGGAGCTGATGCCCTGGTTAGCACTGCGCGTGGGGAGGGGCAGGGAGTGGGGCGGCCACGGGACGCGTGGAGGGGGATGGTGGAGGAGGCGGTCGGTAGGGCCAAGTGGGGAAGTGTGGCCGGCGGGCTGAACACCCAGAGGGCCGGGAGAAAGAGAGGGAAGGGGGAGGTGTTTGAGGGTCTCTGGAGTGATGCTGAAGGAGATGAGAAGGGTGTTCAGGCAGGAGATGTGGGGGGGGGGGCGGCGGGTAGGCCCAGGACTCCCGGAGTCCTAGGGAGAGATGTTTGGTCAGAAGGTGGAGGTGTGGAGGGAACTCGAGGGGGGTTGACTTGGGAGGGGAGAATGGCAGGTACCTGTCCTGTTAGTGCTCTGGGGACAGAGGTGTAGGGTGGAAGGGGCGGGGAGGGTTATTGCAGCAGAAATACCCTGGTGTTGGAGGACTTTGGGAGAGAAATGGGGACAAGGAGGTAAGGCGATTTGAATGGATAGAAGGCGTCAGGTTAGGAGGTGAGTGTGGGGCGGTAAATAGGCAGAAGTGAATGAAATGGCCGGTAGGCGTGTGGGAAATATAGATGAAGGCGTGGGGAGCAGGAGAGGGACCTTTGAAGTTGGGAGGACACTGGAGAGGAAAGGTGTGGGGCTGGATGGAGAGTGTGAGGTGTGGGCTACCAGGGGTGGAGGGGAAGTAGAGAAATGATCTTGGAGTGGCAGATGAAATGTGAGAACAGATGGAAGGAAAGGTGTCTGGGGCAGGAAGTGTGGAGAGAAGTTGGGGAGGAGGAGGAAGATGGAGGGTATGTGTGGATGTGTAAAGGTGTACTGATATGGAGTACCATATGTGGAAGGAGGGGGCACTGTGTGGAAAAGGGACTAAGTAGTGGACATAGGGAAGGCAGTGGGAGAGATGGGATATTTCGGGGTAGAATCAGTAAAGGAATGCACAGCACTTATACTGGGTAAGGGTATATGAAGGCAGACATGTGTGGTCATGTCTGTAACTAGAGTGGGAGGGTGGGGGGAGTAAGAAGCCCAGGTTTAGGCCAGGAAATTACTATTACAGTTGTAGGGAGTATGGGGCTTCCAAGTATGGAAATGTGGAGAGACTGGGACATTTAGAAATGTTTAGGTCACTGAAAGTATAAGGAAGGGTATAGTGCAGAAATTGGAGGGAAAACTGAAGAGAGGTAGTGAATTCTAGACTTACAGTAATTGCAGATTGGATGCAAGTGAACAGGGATGGTAGATCCTGGAATGATGAAAGTGGAGGATATTCAACTGTACTACATCAGAAAGTTTTATGCTAATAGGATCAGAGATAACAAAGCCTGATTTTTAGCTCTGGAATCAGTGAATGGGAAAGGATAAGGAAGCGCTGTGTGCTCACTCTGAAGTTGGTAAGAGGTGTGTGGTACAAGTCCTTGTAGCATAACTATCTGATGAGCGGACACTTTATAAGAGCCATACAGGGACATGAGGAGTGAACCAAAAGAATGGAAATGGCATTATAGCAGGTGCAGGACAGATGTCTTTGTGAATCTGCAAGACAGCAGGGCCTAGCGGCCAGTAGCGTTCAAGGACTGTGTGTAGGAGAGGGAGGAAGGGATACCTTGGTGCAGTGTTTCAGATACCCTGGTGCTTTCTGGGTAATGGGGCATTATTCAGGCATTGGATGATGTAATATCTGAATGCCATGTTACAGGCTGACAGAAATGTACACCTGGCTCCTAAAAGTAGCAGAAATAGAGCTTTTGGATTTTCAAAATTCTTTACAAGTATGACTAACTGATACTGGGCTGTTGAGATTCCCCCCTCCCCACAATACATGTAGGTTTTTGGTGGAGATTTTCTGGTATTTTGATTTGCGTTGAAATGTGTGATTTTTTTTATTGAGGAAAGACAATTTTGGGGCTGGGTTGACATATGGTCATGAGCTTACCAGACATATGGAAAATAACCTTTAGGAGTTTGAACATAGACATTTCAATGCCTGTCTCATTCAGTGGTTTGTGTTAGATTCTTTGGGATTTGGAAGGATTAAGCAAACTATACTATACTTTGAAACAGCTTCAGTAAAGCAGGGTTTCCTACAGTCTTGGAAAATGATTTCCCTTTTACCAGTTGAAAATTTAGTTTTGTCAAATGTTGCTAAAAATTAAATTTTATTATATTAACAGAAGTAACCTCATGGGGCTAGGGAGGTGGTTCAGTGGTAGAGTGCTTGCCTTGCATGCATGCATGAGGCCCTGGGTTCGATCCCTCAGCACCACATAAGCAACAAGAAAAAAGCTGGAAGTGGCCCTATGGCTCAAGTGGTAGAGCACTAGCCTTGAGCTGAAGAGCTGAGGGACAGCGCCCAGGCCCAGAGTTCAGGCCCCAAGACCAAAAA